GCGGCCAGTCTGTACTTCTCAGCCCCTTCACCTCTGAAAGCTGTGTCTTTACCTTTGTTTGTACCCATCACAGCCACCATTATGATTTGCAGTATGTTTGCCTGACAAGTACTGATTCCTTCAATTATAATATGCAATTACAAATGTAAAATTCAACGTTGAGTTAGTAAACTGCTTTTGCAGGGGTGGAGAGAAGAGTATTGTCATTGTTGAGTATAAGATTCAGCCTGCTTTTAGAAGTTCCAAATATTTTAGATACACAGCTATGTATTCAACAAACATACACACCCATGCACTTGAATCCATCTATAAAGTAAGGAAACATGGAACTGATTGGCTTACTGATTTCAAGAGTTTTCTTATTAACACTGCCTGGCATGAGATCATTCATTTTGGCTTATATAATTTCAATCTATTTGTATTTTTCTAATAAAGGATGTTGAGCCCAGCCAGTGTGGCTCAGTGGGTTGGGCGTTGTGCTATGCACCAAGAGATAGCCCAGTCCGGGCACATCCTGGGTTGCAGGCTCAATCCCCAGTGGTGGATTGGGGTGTGGGGAGAGTGCGTGCAAGAGGCAGCTGATCGATGTTTCTCTCTCATCATTGATGTTTCTATCTCTTTCACTCTTCCTTCATATCTCTCTAAAATAAATTAAAAAAAAAACATTAAAAAAAGTAAGAGATGATGCTGTGAAATGTGATTGGCAAAGAGAAGTGGTTTCTCAAGTTGGGCCTTCAGAGCCCTTGGGGACCATTGTGTTCAGGTGGCGACTGCGGAATAGTGAAGGCCATGGCCTCCCAACACTCACGCTCAGTACACTGTGGCCAGGCAGGGGCTCTCCATCCCTCCCTCCCCACGGGTGGGAATCACTGGATTCACCCTTTCAAGGCGTTCAGAGCGCAGTCATTGTGCTGGGACTGTTCTCCAGCTGGCTCTTCCAAACCATCCCCCTCCTGCGGCATCTCAGTGAATCCTCAGTTTCAGAGGCCTTGCCCGAGGGGCTGGATCAAGTCCCCAGTTATGCGTTCTCTAGCACTGCCTCTCCTTCACAATGCATTATACGGTTCTTTATTGAGCACCAAATATGGAGGCCACGCCCAGTCTAGGCACTGATGGGAGAGCTGAAAAGTCAGGACAGAGCTGTCTGCATGGCGCTCACACTTCAGTGCAGCGATGGAAATGCATCTCATTGAAAATGTGCTCTGTACACTCTACATGCCATGTGTTGTACTTTCAGTAAAACTGGGTGACAGCGACTGTCATTATATTTATTTTTCAAACGAATTGCAGGCTGAGGGAGGTTAGATGATGGGCACCAGGTCACAGAGCAGGTGAGGGCCATCCCAGCAAGGCGACCCGGAGCCCAAGTCCCGCCCTTCTTGCTGCGTTACTGTTGCCGTGGTACTGGTGGTACTTCTGGGCATGGGTGAATGAACTTCTCACTGTTTTTTGGCGCTATTGTTTTTCTTCTTGGCCAGTTGCACAAACCATGGTTTGGAGTGACAGGCATATCATTCAGGCAAAGTAATTATTGGGAAATTCAAAACTCGAAGTGCATTGGCATGGCTACGCTTTTCTTCTATCTGAATCCCTATTTTCAGAAAGGACACAGGAGATGGCAAACTTAAACTCATCACTTCACCTTCTCTGGGTTTCCATCCCTGCTCTCTGGTAGTGTGAGGCCACAGGAAGGAGTACTGCTGGGCTGGTGTCCGTGGGAAAGTCAGTGGGTAAGAGAAAGGAGGCCGGACATGGAGAGTGAGGTGTGTTCCCAGTGCTGTCTGGCTGGAGCCATTAGAGCATCTTCGTTCTGGGCTGTTTCTCTGAGATGAGCCGCAGACGTAAGGCCACTTAAGGCCATTAGCCCGCTTGATGCGTGCTCTTTCTACTTCCTTGCCTTTCTTCTTTTCTTTCCCCGCCCCCCCCCCATTTCCCTCTTATTTGCCTTGGGGAGTTTGTCCATTGTATGATTTTGACAAAGGTGTGCAGTAATGATTTTAATAGATTTAAAGCTGCTTATGAAACAGCACATGAATCTATCTGGAGGGAAGGAGAGACATAAAAGAACTCGTGGGGTGGGCCGAGGTTAGCAGAGACGGATGGAAGAGCATCTGAAGGACCATTTCGTTCCTATCACCTTCCTGGGTCTCACTGTCCCACCTCCCACCAAAGGACACGCGCCTGTGAACAGGGTGGACAAAAGCCTTGGCAGCTCAAACCCAGGCCTCACTGCTGTTCTGTGGAGAGCTCTTCAGTGCAAACTGCTGGCCTCCTGGCAGATCAGGTTAACAGGGGCAGTGCCCCTACTCTCCCCCAGCTTAAAAAAGGAATAAATTGCTAACATTAAAAATTCAGGTTATTTCTCATAGAAATCAGGTGCTCTGGCTTCCAGACAATCAGAAGCTGTGGCCCCATTGGGCTCCTATGTCCCCACGTGACTAGGGCTGCTGTTCGGGAGCCACTCCACCTGCTCTACATTGAAGTGCGTCTGAGCTCTGCATCCATTCACCTGGTATAAACCTGATTGGATCTGAGTTTGTGAGCCCTGGTCCTTACTGTACGTGGCAGGTGGTGTGTGCCTTGTGTGTGTGTGTTTGTGTGAGTGTGCATGTTTGTGAGGTGTGTGTCTTCCAGATCCTCTGGTGGAGGCAGGTTGTCTATTGTTGCTGTACTTTAAAGAATACTTGATGCTCCAATGGTTGTGATTTCACTTGTTTTCGATCACAATAATTATTTAGAGATGCAGATGTCCTTAAAGGAAGGTTGTAGATTCATTATGCTGAGCAAAAGTAGACATTGGGCCCTGACTGGTTTGGCTCAGTGGATAGAGCATCGGCCTACAGACTCAAGGGTCCCAGGTTCGATTCTGGTCAAGGGCATGTACCTTGGTTGCGGGCATATCTCCAGTAGGGAGTGTGCAGGAGTCAGCTGATCGATGCTTCTCTCTCATTGATGTTTCTAACTCTATATCCTTCTCCCTTCCTCTCTGTAAAAAAATCAATGAAATATATTTAAAAAAAAAGTAGACATTGGATGAAAGAGGGATTGCCAAAGAGGAGGTCTTGCCAACGAGCAGGTCATAATATAGATGGAGCATTTCACCAGCTGTGTTAAGATAAAATAGAGTAGAAAACATCAGCATGTTATAATTGAAGATGCATAAATAGCGAGGTAAATATACTGGCTCCTAATCTAAGCTACACTTATTACTGTGGTTGCAGTCACAAGAACTTTAAGAGCAACTGGATTGTCAAGTTTGGGAAACAGAATTTGATATTAAGCAATAAACTACCACTGTTTCTAGATAACAGGTATCTTCATTCTTTTTAGAGACAAGATTGGCATATACATAAGTAAGTAAACAATAACATTGGTCATAGGGGAAGCCAAAGGCCACTTCTTCCTCTTAAAGAGTTGACTGAGGCTACTTCCTCTTCTTCGGGAATGATAGTTCCTATTTGATGGGAAAAGGAGCTGTGAAAAAATGAAGACCTTGCACAATTAGGTGTCACATTTGTCTGACCGCATCAGTGAGGAGGGAAGGGCATTGAGCACTGGGCAGTGAGGGAGTCTTCTGGGAGGAGGTGGGACTTACTGAAACACATCAGTTCTTAGTTTTCATTCCTCATTGGATTGGCGTGACTTAATAATTAAAATCACACAATCAACCCCCTGAGGTACTTCTTTATATTAGCTTACTGAAAGAACCACCAGTTTGTTCTTTTCCTTCTTCTCACCTAGCCCATATCAGTGAAATCCAAGCGAGGCAGGTTTTGACGGGTTACGAACACTGAGCTATATGTGCTGAAAATTGCCATATGGCCGTGGTATCAGGCCAACTGTGGGAAATTAGATAGGGAGAAATCTTTCTATTTTTATTACATTAATTGCATAGACTGGGCTAGATAAAGTAATTAACAGCCGTTTGGGTGGAGATGTGCTTGATTTCCATGTTGTTTTCTTCAGATGAACGAAACTCGGC